GCTCTTGAAACCGCAGAATAAAAAGAAGAGCCTACAGTGGGCTATGGAGTATGAGAATTGGACTTCGAAAGCGTAGAGAAATGTTTTATGGAGTGACGAGTCGAAATCCCAGTAGTTTGGCGGAGGCAAGTTTTCGTATGCAGATGTAACGATGAAGGAATGCTGAAACAATGCATCGTACTACCAATTAAATATAACGAAAAATAGATTGTCCATTTTTTTTATCGAGGAATCTAAAATGTTGTAAACATTGACAATATATTAAACAAGAATGGCCACGGAAAAATATTCGAAAGTGATATCGTCAGATCGATGTCCACTTAAACAAAATTTATATTTAGAAGAAAACAAAACGAATGAAGTTTAAATTTTTTAAAATTTTTGATCAGAATATTATACGACGTTCGTTTTTTTTTTTATCGAAACTAAGAGGAAATAGGGCATGCTGATAAATAAAAATTAGTCTAAAAATGGCGCGTGAAAATCGGGCGAAAAAAGAAATTTGGAAAAGCTTGTCCAAACAGGGTGAAACGCTTCCGCCTAGCGAAAAATAGTGGCCTCGCAAAATATTCTGTATTTTTACGCGTGACGGTACGAAGTGTCGGATTACAAGGCGATCCTTTTTCTATTTTCAGCGATATATTTCGCGCCTGCTATCCCACCGCCGGTTATCCCTCGTGCAACGCGGATTCCACCGCGGAAACTTTACGCGATATTCTATTAAAATTATGCGCGATCACACGAAACGGCGTAACGACGCGAAATTTCTGTTTCCCTCGTAAAATTCGCCCCCGCGAATGATAAATACGCTACGCTCGTTCCTGATAATCGGACAGTTTTATTTTATCGTCTTTCGTGCCTTGCGATAGCTCGAACTCCGGAATGCATTAACTCTAATTAGTGTATAATTAATAAGTTAATCATATTCCTCGATAACGTGGCAATTTAGAAAGGAACGTTACGTTAAAACGTACGCAACAAAATAAACGAAATGTCACTAACACACAAATTTAATTACATACCTTACAATTCCTCAAACTTGGTAAACTCGACGAGATATGGTTACTAATAAGTAATATTTCAAAGCGAGATCTTCTCATATATCGAATGATCAGAAAACTGAGTGCAACAGTTTGTACGATCCGCTGTATATATTCCAAAGTTTCAGAACACTGATCTCGATGCAGTTTAAAGCTCCTGTATTTCGAATCCCGATCTAATCCACGTTTAATTTATACCCAAATATGATTTAATCTCGATCTGACATAAATCGAACGCTGGTTACACTGTTCAGACAAAAACAAGTATTACTAGGGTCAACTGATTTACTAATAACTTCACGCCCAATTACCTCTAATAGCTCGAACAAAGAAGAAAAGCCTCTTTTCGCCGAATCTGGTGTTAATTCGTTGATTAATAATCCGCACGGGGGAACAAGCTCTTTATCGTAGGCTAAATACATTCACGAGAAAATGATGAGCATTAAATTATCGTATCCTGAGGCAAACGTTCTGCTCCATCGAGGATATAATCTTGTTCATGTTTTTTTCTTCTATATTATATACACATACCATATAGATGCTGATCCCGCTGCCTCTCTCTCCCTCTGACACACTTTTCTTCGAGCTTTTAAGCGTTACGCTACTTGGCTCACCCTGCGCGATAATGGACTATGCTTTTTAAAGTGCTATAACACCGGCTATTATCGTTTTGCAACCGGTTCAGCTGGAGTCCAGCACGGTGTAGCTTCCCAGGGACCCAGTTCCCATCGATTTTTCAACGTTGATCGATGAAAATCGATAAGTGCCTCGGGAGAAATTTTAAGCACTGGAAAGCTACTACGCCTAGCTTTTACCGATCCTAATTCGCACCCCAATCGCAGGCAATTCGTCGTCTTAAATAAAGTGACCACTAGAAAACGTCTTGCAATCCAATGGGGAGAACAAAAATGTTTGACATAGAGAAACGTGGATAATTTAATTTTCTATTTCTATATTAATACATTCATCATCAGAATTTAATATTTCCAGGAATATATTTTTCTTGTGTTTCACTTAATTTTGGGTTTATTAAAGGTCACAATTTTGAATTTTACTTTCAAAAAATTGTACATAAGTATTACTAGAATTTTAGCATTTTTTTTTATTTGCAATACATTATCTGTTATGTGGAAAATAGTATACAGCAAAGGAAAGCAAACTGGAGAACACAAAATTAAACGCAATTTTAGTCCTCATTTAGACAATATATTTTTCAATTTGCTAGAAAACTTTTAACTTTTATCAGAAAACAGTACTATAATATTAATAACTCGTGCGTCCTTCAGACCTAACCCAAATTAAACACGATCGTAGTGTCCCATTTAGATAATAATATATATTTAATTTATATCGAATGTATGTGCATGAAGGAAAAAAAGAACAGAGTACCTATAATTTTCAATTTACTTTCACTCTTACTAGAAAACAAACATTTTAGCAACAGTACCATAATATTAATAACTCTTGCGTCAAGACCCAACCCAAATTGAACGCAATCGTAGTGTTAATTTAGACAATTTATTTAAATTATATTATCATCGAATGTTTGTGCATAAAAAAAAAAAGGAATATAGTATGTATCTTTCATAGTTTTCAATTTCCTTTAATTCTTACTAGAAAACAAACATGTTAGCAACAGTACCATAATATTAATAACTCGTACGTCATCCAGACCTAACCCAAAGTAAACACAATCATAGTGTCCATTTAGATAATTTTCATTTATAATATGATCGAATGTTTGTGCATCCAAAAAAAAAGAATATACCATGTATCTTTCATAGTTTTCAATTTACTTTAACTTTTAGAACCATAATATTAACTGGCAATGAAAAAGCGGACCGCGCAGCTAAAGAAGCAGCCAACTCAACTACCCCCAACCACCACGACAACAGCACACATATGGAAACGTTACTCTCCACTCTTAAAGAAAAAATTAAAAATTGTTGGAACAAAGAGTGGAGTACATTAACAAAACCCCGTACAAAATTAATAAAAAACGACTTTTATGAAAAATCCATTACCTGGAAATTACTCAGACCAGACCAAGTGATAGTATCTCGAATTATTATAGGCCACACCAAACTGACCCATCAACACCTCCTCCAAAAAACAGACCCACCAATATGCGAAACGTGCAAAGACCTCCTCACAATAGAATATATCATCATCCACTGCAGAAAATATATTCCAATCAGGCAACGGCACAACATAAAACCAACCCTAAAGGACAATCTGAAGGACAACACATCGACCCAAAATCTACTACAGTACCTCAAAATGACTAAATTGTACAACAAGATCTAACAATGTATTCTCCGAGTCGCTAATAACCCTTAGCGGTTGATGCGACTTTAAACAAATAAATAAATGAAAAAAAATATTAATAACTCGTACGTCGTTGCATAAAATCCAACAAAAATATTCGAGTAACGTCTTTGGGGGGTGTATCGATTAACACGAAAAGTTACGGTCGAATATCAGGTGTGGTTCTGTAGGTGAAAAAATTCCAAACGTTTCCTATATCTCGAGACAGGAGGAGGCTGCCTGGAAGAGACTCGGTAACGAGCTTTTCTTCTTATTTAGGAAGACGCGACTCGAACTTCTGGAGTATTCAAGAATTCTAATCGGACCACTCGCGAGTAACTCGGTTCGTTTGAAGCGAACCAACCTCGCGAGCGCCGAGGATTCTTTAATTTCAGATTCCGACGAGAGCCCGCCGGGCGGAACTCGACGATTGCTGCGGGTACTTTTAGGGAAATGAAACTCCGGGGGCCGTGGAAGCTCGCGGCGAAATGCTCGCCGGAAGCCAGCGGAGTTAAGAAATGCTTTCACGGCTTCTATCCGCCCCCTCCTCGACACCTTGAGAAATGGCCGACGGGTTCGAGGAGATGAATTTTAGGCATCGTTTGAAGACAATCGAGCGTTGAACCGACGACGGGCTGCGGGGGATCAACCTGTTGGAAGAATCGCGCTTCAACGAAACGCGAAACCGTATGTTTTCCATGTTTGGTCGAATTACATCGCCCAAAAAAGACAATCATGTGAACGTTCGCTAGTGGAAAATGCTTCGTTGATTAATTTATAGGAATACAATAACAGGAGCACATAATAATTTCTTTATTACTAGGTACAGATACAGGGTAATATTTACATTTTTCTAATTTAATAATGTACAGTGAATTCTTTTCGTTAAGGAGGGGTAACATTAATTCGATGTAGGTTGGGCAGGTAATTATTTCAAAATTTTTGATGGGACCGAAACCACCACGAATTTGGAGAATACTCCAGTATGCAACGATTCCCATAAAAGATGATCTCCGATTTTTTTCTAGGTTCTGATCTACTTTCAATGGTAATAAGAGTTATGATAGAACTTGATGTATTCGTGTGAAACGAGATCTTGAAATTGATTAGAATTCCACATTTTTGCACCCCTTTTTTTTTCTCACGTTTGGCCTCTATAGAATAAGTGTTACGTCGTGTTCCATTGAAAGTGTGATAAAACGGTGAATAAAATCGCGAATGAGCTTCTAAGGGTGTGGTTTTAGTCGAGTCAAAATATTCGAAAATTCAGTAAAATAATGTTCGCTTTCTCGCTTGCTTTCTTACGTGAAAGGATCGTCGAGGAAATTCGACACAGGAATATGGGAGTAGAAGGTTCAGAAAGATTACGTCTTTCTAACAATAATACAAATATCGTTTAGGGCAAGTATCCTAATAATAATACTTATAATCAACGCAGAAATGTACCGGAAGCATATTTCTATAATGGTCGACGGGGTCCAAGAATGATCGTCCCTTAAAATTCTCCACTCTTGTCTATAAAACGTGCAGTTCTTCGTGTCGCTTTTCCCGCGACGTACAGGGTGTCCCGCGTAAACTGTTGCGAGGCACAAGGATTTGCGAGGCACGATCGACTGCATAAATCTTGAGGAAATTGCAATGTCCAGTCTAGGCTCACGCGATCACCGTGGAAAACACGTCGAGCACACTTCTGCGGCATTCCGGATAAAGGGCGTGGCAGCTCTGTCCCGACACCTGCTCGCCCAAATGCTCGGCTGCTCGGTACTCCCTGTCCGAGTACTCGTCGTACTCCTCCGCGGTGCTGGACGGCCTGGAATCCCACGGAATTCGTTGTTCGAGTTGCCCGTGAAAAATTACGATTCGTCCGCCGCGAGAAATCGTGGCCACGAAGGGATGAACGGGGGTGGAAAAGAATTCGGTTGGCGGAGTAGGGTCGAGGGGGTGGAAAGGGGGCGACGTGGGGCGTTCGCGGGATCAATAATGCGAGCGGATAGGCGAGAAACCCGCCAAGTTATTTCGCACCCCCACTCGTTAATTGGCGTCGCGTTGTGCAGACATTGTTTAATCCAACTGTACACGACCGGCGCGTTATTGTAATCCACTGTTATTTATTATTCCGGTGGAAATCTCGACCCGCGAATTTTCACGTGCCTTCCTGTTGCGGCCGCCGACTCTACGCGGTGCATTCGGTTGCATCGTGCACGCGTTGTTTCACGGTTCTGAATCGAGTATAGGCTCTGCTTTTGGACGTTGTTAGGTTTTGGGAAGATTTTTACTCGAATCGTCGCGTATCACAACATAGGTTAATAACTCTACCCTGAACCAGTCATACTTAAAAATAGGGGAGATTTGAAAAGCTTCTCAGTTTTCAATTTTTGTAATTTTTATTCATGTCAACCTGAATGAAAAGTATTATAGACTTGTATAGAACTAGCCATACTCAAACCTCCTTATTTCTTGGACTACGTATATGCATACTATAAAGGAGAGTTGATACGATTTTCTGTTTTCAATTTTTGCAATTTTGTATTCAAGTCAATCTGAGTAAAAAGTATTATTATAGATTTGTGTAGAACTAGTCCTAATCAAACTTCCTTGTTTCTTGGGCCATGTATATGCATAGCATAGGGGAGATTTGATATGCTACTCAGTTTTCAATATTTGTAATTTTTATTCGAGTCCACCTGAATGAAAAGTATTATAGATTTGTATAGAACTAGCCATACTAAAATCTTGTTTATTCTTGAGGAAAGTTGATACGATTTTCAATTTTCAATTTTTGTAGTTTTTATTCAAGTCAAACTGAATAACAAGTATTCTTATAGATTTATATAGAACTAGCCATACTCAAACCTCCTTGTTTCTTGGGCCACGTATGTACATAGCATAGGGTAGATTTGATATCCTTTTCAGTTTTCAATTTTTGTAATTTTGTATTCAAGTCAACCAAAATAAAAAATATTTTTATAGATTTGAATAGAACTAGCCATACTCAGAGCTCTTTTATTTTTGGACCACGTATATGCATAGCATAGAGAAGAGTTGATATGCATTTCAGTTTTCAATTTTTGCAATTTGCATTCAACTCAACCTGAATAAAAAGTATTCTTATAGATTTGAATAGAACTAAAAATACTTAAACCTTCTTGTTTCTTGAGCCACTTATGTAGATAGCATAGGGGAGATTTGATACGTTTTTCAGTTTTCAATTTTAGCAATTTTTATTCGAGTAAACCCGAATGAAAAGTGTTCTCATAGATTTGCGTTGGCTCGATTGTTCGCTTAGTTCACTTACTTAAAGAAGATTTGCAGCAACTGTCCCAGCAAACCGAATTTGTCGTCGAAGGGCGCGGACGCAGCCTCGCATATAGCCTTCATCACGCAAGCTTTTCCCCCGAATCCATACAATCCTGCCATTTTCTCTAGCATCTTGTAGATGCTCCATCTGCTCTTTTGCGTTCTGGAATAGGAGACTCCGGGTATCGTGAAGTCCGTGGCATTGCTGGGCATGGCGTACACGATCTTCGTGAACATACCGATGATTATGCTCTCGGTGTCCAGTTGCAATGGTGTACCCAGACCGAAGATCAGCTGTTGATATGATAAAACGAACGTTACCAGTTCAAACTTTTCATTTATAAGTACGATAGGATGATATATATATCGCTATAATCTGAGAAAACGAAAGTGTCACTGTACAAACGGTGTACAATAGTATTTATTACATCGGAAACAACATGGTTTTTGCATTAAAATATATAGAAGAATTAGTATCATCAAGATGTCACAATATTGCCCTAAAACTATTTAAAAAATGGAAAGGATGGGTTACAGTTAATATTTTTTATTTTGATTAAGTTTTCTCATCTATCACTCACCCATTTGATAATTCAATCGTACAACCCACAGTCTAACTTTTTTCTTGCATTACTCTATTTGAAACAAGAATAATGATCTCCTCTATTCAATTCTTTAATAACGTAATGTCAATAAAGATTGCCTAAAACTTTCGTCCATCGAAAACTATACGATTTTGTAGGAAGAATTTAAGGAACAATCCTGGATAGTTCGTTTCCCAAAAGCGGTTGTTTAAATTCAAATAGAGCCCATAGTCTCTCTATAGGTATCGCCAGAACCAAAAGTAAATATGCAAAGAACAAATTCTAAAAGCCAAGACGCTCGGTCTCGCGGCGTTTACGATCGAACGAGTAATAAGAAGCTTCGGAACGTTTATTCCTTTCCCTATCTTCGTCTAGCCAGGTGTCCGTGTCCTTTAAACGACATTTTGTGCCGTCTTCGCAGAATCCGTCGTTGAGGGGCAACCGTGTAGATATCACGGATTGCGATTCGATCAGGAAAGTCGTGGTTATGACCGTTATTCATAGGAGGATGGGTCTAAAGAGGAAATTGGAGGAACTTAGACGAGATCGGGTTAAAGTCCGACGGTGTCCGCGCATTTGAGTGTTCCGGTGTTGGAAACGAATTGAGGAATAGCTTTCCCTCGTATCTCTGCGAGCATCGTCCGGTGGAGTTTGCTAGATCAACCGAAACGCGCGGAAAAATGATATCAAAAGGGGCTTTTACATATGCTGTTGATCACGGGGCTAATTTGACACTGCAAAAATCACATGTTCAGTCAGAGAATGAATTATCGAGTAAATATTCCAGTGAAAAATTATAGCGAAATTACAAATTAAATATTCCATTCAAGGGGTGACATTATCTTCGAGTCGAGCAAGTCTGCACACTCTGTAAAATTCAATTTTATTTGGGAAAATGTAAAAGTTCCACTAACAAAAGATAATTTTGATGTAAAACGCCAGGTTGTTACAGGGTTCCTCTGTTACCAGGGTAATTTTGAAAAAACTGTTTTCGTTTAGACTGTAAATATCAAAAGAATCCTAGAAAATGTTTTATAATCCTTTTCCGACATACATAAAATGATATCAAAAAGGGCTTTGACATATGCTCTTACTCACGGGGCTAATTTGACACTGCAAAAATCACTCGTTCAGTGAGAGAGTTAATTAGTTAATAATCGAGTAAATATTTCAGTGAAAAATGGGGCGAAATTATTCACGAGTCTCGAATCTCGAATACTTATTATCAATGAATACACTGTAAAATTCAATTTGAACCGCGCGTTTCTCGGGACAATTTTCCATTTCCGACGGTTTTATAATCCTTTTCCGACATACATAAAATGATATCAAAAAGGGCTTTGACATATGCTCTTACTCACGGGGCTAATTTGACACTGCAAAAATCATTTGTTCAGTGAGAGAATGAATTATTGAGTAAATATTCCAGTGAAAAATGGGGTGAAGTTACCGTCGAGTCGAGCAAGCCTTGGACGACATCACAGTTGAGTACTTATTACCATACACACACTGTAAAATCTATTAGATTTTCAGTGTGAACACATAGGTTTGATGTAAAAAAACTAAGTTGTTACAAGCTTCCTCTGTTACCGGGGTAATTTTTAAAAAACTGTTTTCGTTTAGACTGTAAATATAAAAAGGATCCTAGAAAATCATCGTCGATTGATTATAAAGTCAAACCGCGCGTTTCTCGCGACAATTTTCCATTTTCGACGGTTTTATAATCCTTATCCGACATACGTTGAGCGCAGTAACTGGCCTAAGAGCTTTCAGGGGTGGTGTATGTATCGGGAGTCCACGGCGTGTATCGATCTCGATTGGCAGCGGGCCGTCGTTCGATGTAAAAACGCTTTACGCCCTTCCCACCGAGCCCTCCGCGAATCTCGTTAAACTGTCCTCCCCAGACGCGCGGCCCGAAACGATTCTCCGTGGAAATTCGCGGTTTTATCGAAAATTCATACCGGGCCATGATGCCGCGTGTACGTGCACATGAATATGTATAGGGAGGCGGCACGCAGTCGTGGCACACGTGTGCAAAGGATAGGTATCCACCTGGCGCAGAAATTGGATGAACCCTGAAAGGTCAGGTGGAATATATGTTATCCGCGATATCGGGACGGGAAGATGGAAATCGAAACACGTTATACGCGCTCACGAAATCTTCCAGGGACAGATTATTACTCGGTGCACCGATAATTACGAACGTACCTCAACGACGGTGAGGTATAAGACCATATTTGACAACCTATTTTAAAAATTACCGATACTTTTCTCATAAAAAAGACCGTAGTTTCTAACTTTCAGTAACCTTTTTCCCCCTTTGCGTTTAATCTCACATTAGATTCTATGCGGTTATTTTTTGGGACATTCTGTTAAATTTTATGGTATAATTGAGTTTCTCTCAGATAGTTTAAGGTGTTCCTGATGTGGTCCTCTGCAGTCAACGATATTTCTGGATAGAGTCCATATTTTCTTCTTTGAACAGCAAATCTTTGGCATTCATACAGTAGATAGTGTGTTGATATTAATTGGTACAATAACCTTTACTTGCAATTTTTAGTACGATAATTTTAATAATTGTATTTTCAATAATATTCGTGTATCCCTACTTCACTCTGAATTTGAGAAATTTGAATACCAAAGATATTTTATCACAATCGAAGTCTTACACACGGTCTTATAAATCCTCGTACTATTAATATTTGAAAGGAATAACGAACGCGTTCTAAGCTGATCAACAATAACAATGTTTCGTAGCCCAAACAGATTCTATAGAAGAAAATGTTTAAGTTGTGGGAGTCGTGTATAGAAACGTTCGATTTAAAAATCGCGCCTATGGCTCGTTTTAAGAATCGTCGCTGTAATTTAAATGTTCCACTCGTGGATTGTTGGGAGATCGAGCTTACAAGGATTGAATCGCTCCGTAGGAACTTTGATCGTGGGGACAACTTGTGGCGCTGTTTCGCTGCTGTTAGGATTTCGTGAGAATTTCGTAGGAGGCAGAAATGAAAAGGAGGGGGCGCGTTTCGTCCGGGCCTGCTAGTGGACTCATCAGTAAGGTTTTCTCTAGCAGGCCCTGCTTTAGACGACTGGGATATTGGGAAGTTTTCTTTTTCTTTTTTTTTTATCTCGTCCTCCTGTTTCTTCCGCAGTACCCTGGGCTGGAGCCCTATAACCTGCACTTAAAACGTTTGTTAGTATCTGTGATGTTGATGAGGATGTGTTATTGTACTTTTCCTTGGGTTAGGGCTCGAAGGGAAAAGTTTCAAAAACCTCGTTTACATGCATCATGCGATGAGTGTGGTGCTGTGGACGGTTAGTTGATGATTAGTCTGGGAGTTTGTATTCGGATCTTTAATGGTATATCTTCGGGGTCGTAATTCCCTAGTGACGCTACTAGGGGGTTTGAATGCTGGGAGTTAGTAACTTGAGCTGCGGTGGACAGCTTCATGACATGCTCGCGGATATACTCGATTTTTGCTTCCTCATGCAACGAAGCGATTGTGTGATAGTGCGTTTTGTTTAAAATGACGCGGAGGTATTTGTTTTGTACAATTTGGATTCTGGATATATGTGATGTTGCTGCGGTGCACCATACTGGAGCGCCGTATGTGAGGATGGGGCGGATACAGGGTTTGTAGAGCCGGATTTTTAGTTCTGTGGGAAGTGGACTATTTCGTGCTAAGAGTGGGTATAGAGTGCGGAGTGCTCCGATGTCTTTGCAAGCCCTATCTTTGGAGTTGTGTTGCCATTTTAGCTTATTATCGAACCATATGCCCAGGTGTTTAACTTTAGTGGACCAGTTAATGGGGTGGTTATCTATTGTGAGAGTGTCAGGGTTGTGGAGTCTTTTGGGGATGAAGATAGTTGCTTCTGTTTTTGTGGGGTTTATTGTCAACTCCCAAGTGGAAGTGAATTGTAAGATGTGATCGAGGTGGTTTTGAGTGGATTTGATAGCCTGGTTTATTTTCCACGAGGAGTATACTGCGGTGTCGGCTGCGTAGAGGACTAGTTTGGTGTTAGGATTTTTGGGGACGTCGTTTATGAATATATTGAATAAGATGGGTCCCAGGACTGATCCCTGCGGTACCCCAGTATGTAGTAGCTGGGTGAGGAGTGGTAGCCGTTGTGTGAGACTGTAATGTATTATATCTGTCAGTGAGGTAGCTGTAAACTATTTTGATTAGGTGTGGGTTGAGGTTGATTTGATGGAGTTTAAGGAGGAGGCCATTGTGCCAGACGGTGTCGAAGGCCTTCTAGAGGTCTAGGAGTACTAGGACCACCGAATGGTTCTTGTTCACCTGCAGGGCAATGTCCTCCTGGAGCCTTAGTGCTTGTTGGATGATGGAATGTTTGTCTCGGAAGCCAAATTGCTCGTGTATAATGATGTTGTTGGATTGGAGATGTGTGATGACTTGCAAGAGTACTATTTTTTTCAAGATTTTACCAAGTATGCTCAGTAAGCTGATGGGTCTATAGTTATTGGATATTGGGAAGTCGTTCGAGGAATGTATATATAGCAACCGAGGGGTTGGTCGAGCGCTTGTGAGAACGCGACTCCTCTGGTGGCGAGCATGGGAGGCGATGCCACAAACTAATTGAAGTTTTTGCGGGTCTCGGTGGCCCATCCACTCAGCTCCTCGACCGCACAAAGCGAAATCCAGCGATCCAAGTGGACGTGGATTCCAGTTGCAGGCCCGCGAGCGTCCTGGTCACGGGTTTGTTCGTCCTATCAAGCCGCGCGCGGTTGTAATCCGAACGACGACCGTTTTCAAACACACTGGATGGAAAATTGGATGAGCCTCGTACGCGTGGCTCGGCCGGCAATTATTCAAGAACCGACCGTAAACGGTGGACGGTTTCGCACGAGACCAGCTCGAACGTTTCTCTTTCGGAATAATTGAGCGAATCGATAATAATCAGAACGCCCGGAACCGCCGCGGGCGCCGACAAAGACTCCTACGGGGCGACATCCGCTAAGCATTTCAGCTTCCTGGCCGCTTAACGGTCGACGGCCTCGATGTTAATAGGCACTTGTTCGCGGGGTTCGAAGGATCGCTCGTTATCGTTCGCTCGTGGGCCTGCACGTGAAAACGCGATCGTTGTTCTTTTACTCTTGTTTTTTTTTTTTGTCGACGAAATTGATTCGCCCCCGTTGCCCGCGACTGGGGAAACCGAAAAAGAAGAGAACGCTCGGAACAGTCGAAAGGGACGGATCGTTAAAGGTTAATAGATCGACGAAAGAAATAGTAATTGAAGCGATAGGTTCTGCGGAAAAATATGTTTGACGTATTTGTTGCCTTTATGCGGAGCAATTCTGGCAACTGGGGTTGGATGTAGTTTCGTTTTAAGGGGATCAAGCAGTCAGTTTATGCACAGAATCTCAGTATGAACCTGTAAAAATTTCTAATTTCTAGAAAAAGAATTTATAAGACAAGCTTGTTACCTTAAAATCTCCATTTTCCGTATTTAATGCGCTATTTTCGTAATTTTGATTTTTATTAATATTTAAGTAGATTCAGTGCAAAGCGGGAGTTATTTCGAATAATTTGAACACTGCAAAATAAAAATAATTTGTATTTGTTTAAGTGCTCGCTACGTGGTTGTGTGACAAAATTTTGCAATAAAAAATTTGTATTCGTATACATTTTAAGCTACCAAAACATCGTGTAAAAGGGAAATTAGTTATAGCTAACCGTTTTTGTTTAATAAGCCCTTACAATAAGGCTCAATCTGACTGCCAGGTTCCCTTAAGCGAAAATGAACGAAATTTATTCTTTTGAAATCATGTTCCCATTGTGTGATTTTTTTTTTTAAATGTACAAGAATTGGATACCCTGGAATATTATAGGATTATATATCTCAGTAGTGTTTAAAACAAATTATTCTGGGATATTATATCTAAATAGTATTTTGTAGATCTAATAAAACATAATGAATTGAAAGAATTGTTTAGCTTTTAATATTGTAATTTATTGATGAATTGAAAATTCGTATATTATAAATAATTATGATTACGATATATCATTTTCAATAATTTTTTCTTTTTCATCATTTACCAAAACAATACGATGCAAATATATTTAATTTTCTGTTTAGTCCCAGAAGAATTTAAATAAAGATCCAATGTTATTGAGGATTTGGAAATACGAGCCTCGGAGGATCTTGTTTACGTGCCAAGATTTAATTTCAGATATGTAGATGATATTCTTTTCACTGTCCCAGAAAACAGAATAGACCACGCTTTGAATATATTTAATTCGTTTCACCAAAGACTCCAATTTATTATGACGATTGAAATCCACAATATTATAGAGAGCCCGGACGTTATAATCGTTAATCGTATTGGGTGGAATCATCATTGATTAGTTCAGCGAATCTGTTTCGTTTCGGAAGTATCTGCAGGAACGTTAACTGGAAATATTCCATCAAATGTAATATTAGAATAATTTATAGCTTGATAGATGCAGCTATCTTTCTGACAATGTTTCAATTCGAAATCAATTTCCTAATAATTTCAGAGATATATTTAACAGAAAAATCCAATATTCAAATTATAGGATCAACGTTTTAAATATTTATTCAAACAAGGAATATTTCACTTTTCTTTCACTTCATTCTAATAATAGTTCACAGTAATCAGTACCAAACTGTCATTAGAACAAATTTCTCATTAAATTCAGCTTGATAGGGATCTTGTGAAATACAAGAGCAAGATATCAGATGTATCAGTCGTTGCTATAAGTTTATCGAAGTATACTGTTTGGATGATAACTTACATATGGTCATTTACAAATGTAAACCGTGAAGAATGAAAAATTTTAACGTAAATAAGAACACCTAATACTCTGCAATTTTACTATTTTTTCTGACAATGTTACGGACATCTCGATGGACATATTTTTAAGAAATTCTCAAAAGAAAAATGAAACGATCGAGAGGGTCCAATCTATTCTTCACCGAAACATTATGTCAAACATAATACGTTTTGATCAAAACAATTATTTATAATTCCAGAAATATTAATTCCTCAACGCATCTTACCATGACTATTTCCTTCCACTTAAGTACTATTTGCTCCTTAACCCTTTGTTCAAATATAGCCTCATACGTTTCGATCAAAACAATTATTTACAATTCCAGAAATACTAATTTCTTAACCAATTTTACTAGAACTATTTCCTTCCACTCGACTATTATAATCCAATTTTCAAGAGTTTCGTGTCTACCAGAAA